TTGTAGCTGGTGGCCGAGTGGCTGGCTAGAAAGCCAGATTTCGGCTACCCGCCTCCTCCTGCCAAAGAGCTGTGGTCCCCAACCCCCGTCCTGAGCAGTAGCGTCAGCGTTGGAGGAAGACTCCCGTTCTTCTTCCACAACACGAGAGGAACACGGGTGCGGCCCCGCGGACGTTCAAGGGGAGCCGCTTCAAGGGTTTGGGTGAAGCAAACTTGGATTATCAGAAAATGGGGGGCAGGGAGCCAAGAAGGGGATGGAGCTGCCCTGACGGGCCGGCTTTCTTAACCAGTTTGCCCAGCGCGGGACGGGCCCCCTGGGCAGCTCTCAGCAGCAGCAGGCTCCCGGAACGGCCCCTCGCAGCACCCCTTATCCGGCCAGCAGGCAGGAAGGTGGGCTGCAGACCTCCTGAGGTCGAAGGCCCCGGAGGCGGAAGTCTGCTTCCTCCCAGCCCGGGACCCGCAGACTCCTCCGGGCGCCAGAAGAGCACTGGCCATCAAACCCGAAGGAAGTTGAGAGGAAGGAAGGGCTGCGGGCGGCTTGTGCTCTTACACCAATTCGGTTTGCTGCCCGAGTCATCTGCTCCTCTGCTGGTTGCTAAAAAATGAGACCTGCCGGCGGAAAGCCGCTCAGGCTGTGTATCGGATACGGCTCTGTAGCCCTCATGTCCTGCCCAGTTCCCTGTATGCTCACGCCCGGAGTCCACTAAAACGGGGCGGGCTGCAAATACCTGGAGGAAACATTAGATAGGCGGATAGCCTGTCAGAGAGCAATGGCTCTTTCTACAGAAGCCTGGTTGTGCCCGCGAAGGGGAGGAGAAGTGCCATTAGCCGTGTTCAGCTGCTTCAGGCAACCAGCGTTGGCTATCAAGTGGCTTCTGCTCTGGGGCTGCAAGATCGCTAGGCAGATTTCCCCGGTCCCTTTAGATATTGCAAATTTTTAAACCTCCTTTGAAGCACCATAAATGGCGGGCCAAGTACAGCAAACCAGAGCACACAGGAGTACGGGTGGTGTTTTCAATAAAATACACTCTGAAACCGCTGGCTTAGAATATAGAGAGATCCCTGCTTATGCAGCGGGACTAATCTCCAAGGATCCGCCGCCCATTTCAGACAAAGTCCAGCGGCGGCATCCGACGGCTGAGGACCATCAGCTGGCGACCGCCAAGGCTAAGGCCTCTGCCGCTTCCCTCTCGCTCGCTCGTCGGAACCTTCTGCTGGTCGGAGCGCGGAAGGATCCCGGCGCCCACCCACCGCAGCAACAAGGACCAAGCGCTCCCGACTCGTGCCTGTTGCGTCCCCGAGGGGGGGGGCGGACCGCGTGCTCAGGTCGTGTCTCGGTCTGCACAAGGCCGCATCCGGGCAGACCTCCCGCTATGACGGCAGCCGTCCAACAGCGCTCTCTGGCAGCAGCGGGGTGACGGCCGCCAGAGTTCGGGGTGAGGAACCCGCCTGCATTTCCCACTCCGAAGCTCAGCGGCTGCGCCCGCACGGAGCACGTGACTGCGCTCTTCACTGCGCTGTATTTTCCTTCACGCGGTTAATTTGGGCTTCTCCTTCTGGTTACACATCGGGAGCTGCGAAAAGTCCCCGGTGCGTAACCAGCTGGAATTCCCCGGACTAAGCCCGGTCGCGTCGCTGGCTACAGGGAACCCCGCCCAGTCAGGATGTGCGGAGGCCGCCGCTTCCTCGAAGGAACCGGTTCCGCGGGTTCCGCCCGAGCCCTGCTCGACGCAACCGAGGGCGGGAGGAAACGCTCGCGCGCACCGACGAACCCAGCCCACCCCAACTCCCTCGCCGCCGTCATTCTGCGGCTGCGCGGGTGCGGGCGGCCAGCGTGGCGCTCGGCGAAGGCCAGAGGCTTGCGTCAGGCGCCCCTGACGCAATCGCGCCCCGCCTGTGCTTGTCAGAGGCCAATCGGCAAGCGTCCCCATGGGGGTGTCTCCTGACGGCAGCCAATCAATGAGAGCCACGACGTGAGATATGCGCGGGAGCCGCGGACGACCGCAAGCGCAGACGGCTCGACGCACCGTCGGAGCCGGTCGTTTCGGGGGCTCGTCGATCGCGAAGGAGGGGGAGGCCGAGGCCGCCACCGCCAGCGGGATGGCTCCGCTGCCGGGCCCTGCAGCGCCGCCGCGGCTCCTCCTGCTGCCCGCCGCATCGACGGCTCCGGCGGCCGCTCCAGGGGCTCCCTCGCCTTCCCCGCCGCCCCGTAAGCGGCAGCGCCTGGCGCACCTCAGCCCGGAAGAGAAGGCCCTACGCCGGTGAGGCCGGGACCGGGGACTGGGCGCTGCGCGGCGCCACGCGAACTCCTCTCACCCGCTTCTGTCTCCCCTCCAGGAAGCTGAAGAACCGTGTGGCGGCGCAGAGCGCTCGCGACCGCAAGAAGGCGCGCATGGGCGAGTTGGAGCGGCAGGCCGTCGAGCTGGAAGCCGAGGTGGGGCGGGGAGGGCGGGCGGCCGGGGTGGGGAGGGCGGCCGGGCGGCCGTCCCGTCGGGCGCCCCCTCACCGCCTCTCTCTCTCCCTCTCTCTCGCAGAACCAGAAATTGCTGGCCGAGAACCGGCGCCTGCGGGAGCGCGCACACAGCTTGGCGCGCGAGAACCACGATCTGCGTCTCCGGCTCGGACTTCCCGCGCTGAAGGTGAGGATCGGTAGGTCGAGGGGCCCGGCCAGGGCGCCTGCCTCCGCCCGTCTCACCAAGGACCCTTCCCCGCAGGTGGAAACGCAGGAGGAGACAGCAAGCATCGCCCCTGGGGGGGCAGAGACCGGGTCTTCTGAGTCCGCAGCACTTAGACTACGTGTTCCTCCGCAGAAGGGACAGGCCCAGCAGTCTTCTGCCTCCACAGTGGGGGAGAGGAGGAGGAAGAGGATGAAGGTGGCCTCCCTCTGGGCACAGACAGCCTGGCTTCTTCAGATGCTGAGGTGGGTAAAAATAGCTGCTGCCCTTCCTGATAAGGTCCAGCTAGGAGCAAATGTCAGGGGGATCCTCTGAATCACCTGTCCTAACCAGCAAAATGGTGTGTGTGTGTATCTGTTCTCTTACAGTCTGATCTCCTCTTGGGCATTTTGGACAGTCTGGACCCAGACATGTTCCTGCACTGCAGCAGCTCCCAGGCAACCTTTGAGAAGCTGCAGCAGGAAGCGTGTGGAGAAGCAGCTGTTCCTTTACCTGCCTCCACCAGTCCCTCCTTGGGGCCTGCACCACTCAGGCAAGATGCCATTAATGAACTGATCCGCTTTGATCATGAATACACCAAACCATTCTTCCTGGAGATCATATCGGAAGCGGCCACCCAGACCAGTGCACTCCTGGAGGAAGTGGTTGCTTCTCCTCCCCTGCCGGCCCCCATCTCTGTGAAGGAGGAGCCTACAGATACCCTTTTGCCTGACCTGGGCCTCTCCCATTTGCTCTCCTCAGACCAGAGGCCTCCCTCGCTGCTGGATGCAGCCAGTGACTCGGGTTATGAAGGCTCCCCCTCCCCCTTCAGTGACCTGTCCTCTCCTGTGGACACAGATTGCAGCTGGGAGGAGGCCTTTGCCAAGGAGCTGTTTCCTCAGCTGATCAGTGTGTGATACCTGCTTAGCTTATGGACAGCCCTTGGATGGACAGGTGTTTTGGAAGAATGTTCCTCTTGAAAGTGTTTCATCATATTCCTAAGTATTGCTTTTTTTGTATGTCGCCTCTGCCTGGCACCTGCCTCATCAAGGTGTTCCATTGCCCTTCCAAGTCAGCTTTGTTGGAAAGAAGGGATCCTGCTTAGGGAGAAATCGCTAATCCCTCTCAGTAGCTTCAATGTGTAAATAAAGGCGGTGGGGTCAGATATTATGTAAATATACACATACTGTATTTTTTGAAAGTTATTTTCCTGCAGGATATTTAAAATTTGCTGTAATTAAAAGGCAGAGCAAGTGATATTTTTCCTACCTTTGTTCTAAAGTGGGAGGGAGGTAACAGTGGAAGATCATTCAAAAAGGGGGGGGGAGAAATGAATTGGTCCCTTTAAGGTTCTGCACAAACTCTGCCATTCATATTATTTGGCAAACTAGTTCAATTATCTTGAAATAATTCAGTTCAGCCGTTCAATCCCTAGTGCCGCATAACAGAGTGTGCTCCCGTTACTTGTCCCAGCTTCTGCCAACCTAGCAGTTCGAAAGCATGTAAAAATGCAGGTAGAAAAATAGAGACCACCTTTGGTGGGAAGGTAACAGTGTTCCGTGCGCCTTTGACGTTTAGTCATGTCGGCCACATGACCAAGGAAACGTCTACGGACAGCGCTAGCTTTTTGGCTTTGAAATGGAGATGAGCACGCCCCCCTAGAGTCGGGAATGACTAGCACATATGTGCGAGGGGAACCTTTACCTTTAAATACACATGCATTCTTAGTCATATAAACTATTACTTGAAATAGGGCAATCTAAACTACGGTGTGTGCAAAATTTAGGGAAGGTTAAACCTTGGCCAGCCATCACAAAAGTAGCAGCTGTGCAGAACACACAAAGTTTTCTTCTTCCCATCTTCCTTCTACTATAGGGGTTGTCTCTCTGAATGCTTGTTGCCCAATTGTATACTTGAATGTCCTTAAGTGGAAAGTGGTTCAATTTTACACTGATGGAATGCTAGTTACAGACCTGCCAAATATTACAGAAGCAGGAAGGAAAGTTCTCATTTGAACCAGGGAACCATAGGAAGCACCTAGCTAAAGCTTCCACAAGTTGAGCAACAGAAGGCTACAGTGCTAAATTGTCATTCCAGTGCTAAGGAGGGTCGTGTGACATTTATCTGCATAGGTGTGGAAAAGGGTTAGCTGAAATCATTTTGGGATTTCCACTGAGGGTCTCTCTGTACAACTACTCCTTGGCTATAGACTAAAATGCTTGATTACCTCAGGACTTTCTGAAAGTGTCACCCTGGCAGCTCACAAAACCACTGAGTTCAATTGATTACAGCAAAGTAAAGTAAAAGGTATTGACAAATCTTTAGTACTTGTTAGCAGTGTACATCATTTTACAATTTTTTTAAAAAAAAATGTTTATTGACATACAAATTGTGATTTGGCCCAATGGCAGACAGACCACAATGCAGTGTTGCTGGTGTCTATATTAATTATCCAACAAAAAACACTCCCAAAATTCCCATCTCTCAAGCAATTCTTGTTCCACCAGTGGGTGTCCATCTAGCCCTCAAAAAAATTACACTTTTGGATACACTCAAAAGATTTTTTTAATCCCTCGAATGAAGGAGAAGGTAATTTCAAGGCCAATCCAACAATTGGGAATGTTACTTTATGTACAGTTGAAGAAACAGACATCCTTTTTTCCTTTCTTACACCAAAGCAAAATCTAACCAACATTAACCTGAAACAGCTCTGATAAAAGTCAGATTTGGGTTTTTCAGGATGTAGGCAAAGCCAATTCCCACTCTGGTTGCTTGGCACTTGCTATGCTCTCCCTGGGAGAGCTGGTTTCTGATCTCTGCGCACAGAAGGGCTGTCTGGGTCCTTCCCTAATTTAAGATTACAAGCTTTTAGAGTGACACGGGCTTGCTACTCAAACAGAAGAGAGGCACAAAGGCTTTTGCTAAATGAAAAGGTTATTTAAAAGCAGAGGCAACTTCACAAAGTAGCAATATAAAGAACTGAGTTGTAAACATCAGAATAGATTTGCTGAGATCTGCACAATGTTAAGTTTAAACAAGATTATTAGCTATGAAAGCTAATACATTTTGGAACCAAGAAAGTATCTGCAGAAAATTTAAAATGGAACTCAAAATGCACACGCTACTTTCAATTGTCCTCCTTCACAGGGGAAAAAATCAACTGAGGTTGCCTTTCCTGGCTTTCTCGAAGGCAGTGTGCAAAACTTGAGCTTTTCCTAGGAAAACTATTTCCTATACATAAACATTCCTGCAATAATTTTCATTTACAGTGGTGCTGCAAGAATTTCAGAGCACTAGGCTGCCAATTGGCTCCTTGAACACAAGAAGCTAAAAAGTGCATAATATGACAGCTTAGGCAGTCTGATGTTGTAAGTGGCACATTATCTACCAATAGCTGTGCTCAGCTAGGTTGGCACAACCATGATCTATTTCCCTCAATGTTACTAGTGCCCACTGAGATTCTCAAGAGAGGAACCATAGGGCACAGAGGGCTTTTGCCAATGTGAATCACTCCTGGCTCAATGGTTCACATGTTCTGTTCATACAACAGTCTGCAAGTCAATGCCACCAACTGATCTTGAGTTGGTGAAGACGGATCTGTATCCCCATGCCTGAACAGACATTTCCTGTCAATTGCTAGAACAAAGGAACTTCAGGTTTGCCTACTCAACTCAAACTTTGAAAGGCTGTAGCAGAAATGAATGCTGTATTTGTCACAAGCAATCAAATTTCTTAAAAAGATCCAAACTCTAGACTGGTGCTCCAAGAAAACAAGGCTTCAGGCTTAATGGGCATAAAGGATGGGACATCTCACTGTGTAAAAAGATGACAAGGTGCATTCAAAGAACCAGCCAGCTTATTTTCAGGAGCCCCAAGTGCCTTCTCCGCATCCTAGATTTATAACTAAGCCCCTGGATTCCTAATGAACGGCATCTTTCAATCTCTGCTTGTCCAGAAAGTAAAGGTAAAGCAACTTGCTTTGTTCCCTTCTTCTACAGCTCCATCTCTTCTTCCGCAGGCCCACCTGATCCAACTGCCCCGAAGTGAGTCAAGGGCATTTCTGCTTGCTGAGACTGCGTCAGGAATTTGTCTGTCTGTGAGGGAAAGGCAGCTTCCAGGGCTGCTAGCTTTCCAAGGCGTCTTTCTGTGACCAATGGCTTGTAGCTCTTAATACAAGCCGGGCCTCCTTTTTCAGGGAGAAATTCAGGGAGAGGCTTCCAAAGCACCAGCTCCATTGATGGACGGCTCCTGAGAGAGAGAAAGCACCAGGGTCAAAATCAATCTCTGGGGAGCAGCCCTTGCCCAGGCTGCTCGGGGTCTCTCCTCTGGGGCAGGGGTGCTACCACACCCAAGGGGGCAGCTGGTAAGATGGCTGGGATTCAATTCCCCCCTTCCCTGTTGGAGCCACTGCTAGACGTACATGGACTCAATGATTTTTTTGGTCAAGGTTCCTTCGTAATCTTGCTTCAGTCCGGTTTGTAGGGTGTGGGACAGGACCAGGGTGGGCAGGTGGCCTTCGGGCCGGCCTGCAGGTCCCTCCTCCTCTTCTTCCTCCTCCTCCTCCTCGGTGATCCTGGCGGGGAAAGGAGGAAGCCCCGTGAGAGGGGCGCGGGTGGAGGGCGGCCTCTATCGCGGGCGGGCAGCCGGCTCACCTGTCCTCGATCTCCTGCAGCCTCCGACGGGCAGCCTCGCACTGCTGCTCCGGCCCGACCTGTTCCATTTCCTCGCAGGGCGCTTCCGGCGGGTCGGGGGTCGCCCCCGAGCAGCACGGCCACCCCGCCGCCTTCTTGCCCGGGGGGCACCTGGGGAGGAAACAGCGAAGAGGCTGGCACCCGGCGCCGCGGCGGGCACCCCGCCTGCTTGCCTGCCTGCCTGCCTGCCTGCTTGCCTGGGGCCCGGCCCCGCTCACCCCTCCGGCTCTTCCTCCAACCGGTGCTTCCTCCAGACGCGCGGCGGGGCGTAGGCCGGGCTGACCGTCGAGGCCCGTGCGCCGAGCGGAGGTCTAGCCGGCCCCGAGGCGGCGAGGCGGCGGGCGCGGAGCCGCGGGGACAGCGGCGGGAAGGCGCTGGGCAGCGGTCCGGAGGCCATGGCGTTGCCGGCCGCTCGGCTGTGGGTTCGTGAGGGGTGCCGCCGCCAGGCCGCCGGACGGGCTCGGGCACGTGATCCAGATGCGCCGCAGACGCCGGCAGGTGACGGACGCGCGCGCGTGGCTTGCCGGGAGTCGTAGGCGCTGCACGTGCCGGGGGGAGGACAAGGAGGGGGCGGGGCCGGCATAAAACACGCTGTTCCCCCGGCTGGCTGGCTGTATGTAGCCCAGGCGGCTCGGAGGGCGAGCATGGAAAGGCAGCCGCTGGTCCGCAGGGCCGGAGCCCACCGGAGTCCCCGGCGCCAGGTGAGGGAGAGGGAAGACCCCCGCTGCTCTTCGGCGGGACGGCGCTTAGTTGCTTTCCGAGCGGCCCGAGGAGCTCCGTCGCTGGGAGAGCCTCCCTCTCCTTTGGCTGCGGGTCGCCGGGAGCTTCCAGCCCCGTTCCCCGGCCGGCATCGGAGCCGTCCTGCGGCCGCAGCACTGGGGTTTCGGGCGACCCGCAGCCGGGTTTTATGGAGGGCGGTGGGGTGGACTCGGTCAAAGCTGCCCGGTCTGTCCCTTTATTTGACTTTTATGACTTTGTATAACTCAAGGCAGTGAACATACCTACCTGACAGAAGCTTTGGGATTTTCTAAGGGGGAATACCTCTTAACTGCCACCTTCTCACCTTTTTTCCTTTGAAAAATATTCTAACGGGTGGTAAAAGGGAGGTTGCCTCCACCTCCTGCTCTGCCTGCCATCCAAGAACTCCCCCCACTCCAGTAGCCAAAGGAGTTTCAAACATGTATGAAAAGGCAAGAGATTTGGGTGTCCAACTTTTAGTCTAGATTGATCCAGGAGGAGAGCTAGTATGGGAAGGAGTATGACGGTTGCTGCTGAGTAGGAAAAAAACTACCACAAAGAGTGGGAGAAGAAATAACAGCATGATCTTCTTCCACTGATTAGTTGCTCTGTTTGCTTGCTTGTTTTGACTTAATATTTGTTTAACATTTAATAATGTATTTTTAAAAAGTTACTTTCTACTTTGTAGTTCAGACCCTTGGCTGTTACTGATGGTCCACCCACAAGCTGTGATTTCCTTCTCCTGAAGCTTCTTCCTTGGCTGGGGAAAACAATAGCTCAGATTTTTAAAAAAGGCTTACCCTCCCCCATCCCATGCACCCACCCACGGCTCCCAACGGGTCTGGCAATCTTATGATCTGCCAAACCCAAACATATTTTGCTTGAGCCAGAATGGGGCACTCAGGGTTGCTAGTTTCCAGTAGTCCAGCCCTCCCTGACCATGGCATTTGGGACTTCCTCTTTCTATAGCTCCCAACCTGGACCCTCCTTGGTACCGTGTGTGCAGCTGGCATTGGAGGGACCTTTCAGTACGGATATAATGTTTCTCTCATTAGTGCCCCCACTCAGGTAAGACCTCCAAAGCATCTTGAAGGGCTATTTGTGGCTGCTCTGCTGTAGATTCTTCTCTTCACACTTACCCAACTCAGAGGAAGCAGGGTGGAAGGGTGCATGAACCAGCATAGACTTCCCATTGTCCATTATTTATTTGAAAAAGGCTCCATGTCCAGCTGGGCTGAAAATGCTCAAGGTCCATTCCCTGATGATGAAGGAAATGGCAGGAGGTATGGAATGGCTGCCAGGACCCACATAAGTGAAGCTCTGCCTGGATGCAAGAGACATGTGGTCCCGGAAGGCTTAGACGCAAATATCTGCCACATTGTCAAGAATACTGTGTGGGCATCATTAGCAGGGCAACTGAACCCCCTTCTGCTATGGTCCCCCATTCTGGTTCATCTAGCCATTTTGGGGGAGAAATGCCAAGCCGTGAGATGCCATCCTTTCCCAGAGTAACACCTACTCCCCCAGTCCCAGCACTTCTTGACAAGCCTCCCTGGAGTAAAGATCAGAGCAACAAATGGGTCTGGTGCCAAGGCAGCTGACTCTTCCTGTATCAGCTGATTCCCTCACTAATTAAACTCTGCAAGATTGATTTAATGCAGTGTTTCATGCTTCCTAAGACAATTAAAAACAAAAGTAACCATGGAGGGACAACAGCATGTGCTAAACACATGTGTATGCATAGTTCACACTGCGATGGAGACTGACAGGCTGAGCTGCAGTTCAGGAGATCAATCCTAATACAGCTGGATGGGACCTTGGAAGTCTTCTAGTCCAACCCTCTGCTTAAGCAGGAGACCCTATATCATTTCAGACAGGTGGCTAATAAACAGACAATTCCCAAAACAGCATTGAAATCCAGAGGCTGCCTCAGGGCTCATTCTGTGAGACGCATCTAGCAAGCCCAGGAAATGCAGGAAGAGGGGCGAGGAATCTCCTCAGAAAGAGGCCCTCTGCAGCCAGGACCTCTGGAAGAAGTGGAAGGAGTCCATGGCCATTCTCTACCCACTGACTGGGCGCATAGCATGCTAGATCTTTCGGTGGCAGCTGACTGTTCCCTGAACGTGTCTGCAGCCATCTCTAGCCCAGTATTTCTCGACCTCCACCATTAAGGAATTTGGGGACTCCACCTCCCAGAATTCCCCAGCCAGCAGGTGGGGCATGTCAAAGATTCGGTCTCCAAGATGGGGAAGGAAGCAAAGAGGCGGATTCCTAGCAACTCATTTGGCCTCTTTCTGCCAAGAGTTGTGCTGCTCTGCTTCCGATTGAGGGTGTGTGTGTCCCAGGCAGCCTGTGTAAAACCCTTAGCTGAGGAGGCTGAAACGCTTGCCCCATACTGGTGATGGGAAGTAGGCAGCACCACCATTACCATCCCCCCACATTATTCTCCTTTTGGGTTTTCAGCACATCCACAAGTTCCTCAATGGTACCTGGCAGAGCCGTTACCAAACCAAGCTGAGTTCCAGCATGCTGACTCTTCTCTGGTCCACCATTGCTTCTATTTTTTCCCTAGGCGGGTTCTTTGGGGCTCACCTTGGGGGCATCATGGCTGGTTGGCTGGGCAGGTGAGCGTAATCATTCCTAGAGGCATGCTTCCTTTACTCTTCAGCAATTCCTCCTCCTCCAAAGAGTAGAAGAAAGTGGACAGGCCCCTGTCTATCCTTTGTCTTTGCCAGAGAGCGATTACCTGGCCTGAGTTGACATTCCAGGGAAGAGACACTGCAGGGATGGGTTCGGTGCTGTGGCTGGAAGGGAGGGGAGCCTGAGCAAATGGCAGCCATGCACCAGTCCCTGCAGGGAGGAAACCTTCTCTCTTTGGAAACCCAGAGTCTCCACCCGCCTTTTCTGCTGGCCAACCTTCTCGCAGCCGTCAAGACCTGTTCCGGGGTCTCCTCCATTCCCTTCTTCAGTGGCTCTTCTGACTCCCTTCTCCTTTGGCAGAAAAGGAGCTCTGCTGATGAATAACCTCCTTGCCCTCTTTGCTGCTATCCTGATGTGGGCCAGCTTCCCAACGGGGCTCTTCGAATTGCTGATCATTGGGAGGTTTCTGATCGGAATGAATACAGGTAAAGCATTTGGATTTTGTCTCTGGATCCATCCCTAGTTAATGAATCGTGTGCTTCCAGGGAGAGACCAACCTGCACCAGGTGTGCTGTTCATTGAGGACAGTGGCGCTTTCCTTCTATTAGCAGCAGCCTCTCCACTGCAGTCTTTTCGGAAATGTATGGGAGAAACCCTGCTCCTTAGACCCTCTTCTGTTTTCAGGCATTGGACTCTGTGTGCAGCCTCTCTATATAGGTGAAGCTGCCCCCAGACACCTTCGAGGGGCCATGGTGATAGGCAGTTCCATCTTCCTGACAGGAGGTATTTTGACCGGGCAAGTGATGGGTCTAAGGTGAGTGTTGAATTCTGGATCGCTGAGGCCCCAGCATAGGGGGCAGTTGGCTGCCTAGGGGCCTGAAGAGCTGCCTTTGTGCTGCTTCCCACAGGGAGCTGCTGGGGGGAGAGGAATGCTGGCCCTTCCTGCTCTTGAGCTGTGGCCTGCCTGCCATAATCCAACTCCTGAGCCTTCCCTGGTTTCCAGAGAGTCCCCGTTTCACATTATTAGACCGAGGGGACGAGGCCAAGGGTATCAAAGGTACAGTGGGCCCACAGCCTTTGGCAGTTGTGCCTCCCAAGCCTCCAAGAGGGAACTGGGCACATTCTTTCAGGCCAGGGAGCAGCTCCAAACCAGCAGCTCCTTCTGCCCATCGGGGTTTTAGCCAGAAAGAAATGTTCCTGAATCTCGGCCATGTCTGTAGGACAAACTAGGGGTGGGAGAGCTCTGGGCAAATCAATCCCCATTCATCTCAGTAGTGTCACAGCCAGGGAGGAGCTGCGGAAGGTGAACCTGCTGGACCTGCCAAGTGGCTTCAGGTGGGCCTGAACACCCCCCCCCCCCCAAGAGGCTGAACCCTGTTTTCCTCCCAGCACTGAAGCGCTTCCATGGTCCTCTGCGCTACCACAAGGAGCTGGAGGACATCCAGAGAGAGAACTTTGCCCTCGGAGGGGAGAAGGCAAAGAAGCCCTGGGAGCTCTTTGCCGACCGTAGCATCCGCTGGCAGCTGATTGCAGTCATCTGTCTGACCATGGGCCAGCAGCTCAGTGGGATCAACGCAGTGAGTGCCAGGGCACCCTTTGTCAGGAGCCTCGGTCCAGCTCCTGCCACAGGCAGATTTCCTGACAGCTTGGAACCAAGAGCAGGATGGGAATTGTCCACATCTTAGTTGGGTGCTCAGCTCTTCCATGCAACTGCTGCTCTCCAAGCACCTCTGGCCGAGATAACGGGGGGCACATAGCAGGTGTGGGAGTCGGATGTCCTCCTGAGCATTGGCAGCAAAGTTCAAAGGCAGAGCTGAGGCCATGCAGTTTAGTCACAACGCAGTCTTTGGCGAGCTGCAATCCAAAGCTGGTTCTATGAACTCGGACAGAGGTGTTCCCTGCTGGTGGCCCTGTTGGCAAGCGAAACGGGTATCCTCTTGCAGCGTCTTCCCTTATTGATTTTTTTGTTCTTTCAGATTTACTTTTATGCCAGTTACGTCTTTGCAGAGACAGGGATTCCCCCCGAGAAGATCCCCTATGTAACTTTAGGTACAGGAATGTGTGAATGCCTCACTGCCCTCACCTGTGTAAGTAGTAGAATCAGGCTTTCCGCGTGGCCACAAAGGGATTCTTTTCTCACTGAGTGAGCAAGTAGCTTTACTCTCCTCCTCCTCCTCCTGCAGGGTTTGCTAGTTGAATCCTTGGGGAGGAGAGCTTTGATCCTGGGAGGCTATTGTCTTATGATGCTTTGGTGCATTATCCTGACCATCTCCCTGACCTTCCAGGTAATTGGGGAACCTCCCCATTTCCAGCTAAGGGGGTGAGCGTGCCCATTGCTCACTGCACCCACCTGCAGGAGGTTTTGCAACAGTGGCTGTAAATGCTGAGCATCACCTACTACCGGCATAGCACTAGCAATGCCACCACCACCTTGGCTCACAGACTTTTTCCACTAGTTAGGAAATACGTAACTTGCTGTCCTATGCTTTCTCCTCAGGTGTATGCATGGGCACCATATCTGAGCATGGCTTGCATATTTGCCTTCATCTTGAGCTTTGGCCTTGGACCAGGTATCCCTTTTATGATTACAGTGAAATTCACACGTGCAAGCCTGCAGGGTCTGACAGTTGCCTGTAGAGGCTGAGGAGGCCTGTCTTAAGGCAGCCATGTTTGCAAAGGGAGGGGGGGACCAAACCAGGAGCTCTTGTTGCTTGGTGTTTTTTCAGCCTGACAGCCACATCTGTCCTATATAATCTTAAAATCCCCAACCTGGAGGTACTGTATGCATCCATTTATGCTGGTCTGACTATAATAAATATTTGCTTTTGCATGCTTGCCTAAGGAGTTAAGAGGTGGGTAGGAAATGACCTTCCAAGGTGTTCACTGGCCAGATGGATTTACACAAGGTGTCTTCAGACACCTCTATTCAAAACTTTTTCTGATGAGCCCAAGATGGCAGCTACTGAAGTTCTTTGCTCTGCTCTGTAATAAAAAACATGCTTCATCCATCTTTCTGCATAGACCTGAAGTAAATGTCCCCCAACAAGCAAACCCATAATCTGTTAGCTTTCTGCTTTGTTTCACCATGCCTGCCAGAAGGTTGAACTCTACCCTCTGTCCTCTGCACCGTTCCTCTTACATAATTCACGTCCACTCCTTCTGTCTAACAAGGGCCCCTTCCTTCAGGTGGTGTGACAAACATTTTGACAACCGAATTGTTCATGCAGTCCTCACGCCCTGCCGCTTACACCATTGCAGGATCAATGAGCTGGCTGAGCTTCTTCGCTGTTGGCATGCTCTTCCCCTTTGTTGTGGTAGGTTGGTCCTTTTATGAGACTCTGGTTCCAGCCTTGTGCTTTGGGCCATCTCTTGTGGTTGACTTCATCCCCAGCTGAAGCTTCCCAGGGGTGTGAGGGGTTGACATGATCAAAACACTTCCTCTGCATACCTTCAGAGGAAACGACACCAGGGCAAGGGGTTGGACTAGAAGCCCTCCAAGGTTCCTTCCAGCCTTATTATTCTATGACTCTATACTTTGTGGAGATGATTTTAGATATTTGATTATCAAGAGGTGGTCCAAGTTTAAATAATATTCAGCCTATGATCATTTGCTTTGCAAAGTGGGGCATAAAGTGAATTGAAGCTCGACACCCGAGAAAAAGGATCTGCTTTGGCCCTTATCTCTTTCAAGGAAAGTGTCGGACCAGCCATCACTTAAACCCTAACCGATCCTTGGCTCCGTTTGTTGGGAAAGGTATATAGGTTATTAAAGTTCAAGTGTATTGCAGTAGTGCAAAGCCAAAACTGAAAATTTCTTGCCAAAATCTCTTATTTTTTTCTCCTTCAACTGTCTCTCATTGCTCACTCCAGTGCAACCAATTTGGTTCAGGCAAGATGTTTTCCTAAAGGTTAGTCCAAGCAGAGTTTGGTAGGCGAACACCTCCTTCCAGCTGGGTGACTGAAGTGGTACTTACTTTTGTTTCCCCAAGCATTTCCCCTCCCGAGAGTTCATGGCAGTCTGTCACTGCATAGCAACAAAGCACAAGGAAGCATAATAAGATGGCAGCTGATAGGAGGCCTGAAAAAGGCTATTGTGCCATCTGGGGACAGAAAGGTTTTGGTTTGGGAGAGCCAGGTCTCCCTTCTGCTCTGTTAGAAGCCGCTCTTAATTTCAGTATAGAAGTTTGACAAGAAGGTTAATGAAAACATATTTGTGAAATACCACTGCAGAAATGGGAATGCATACTGCCTGATGTGTCTTCAGTGACACTCCCCCCTTCTCCCCATTGTGATGCCTCTGTACAGCTTGAGGTGATGCCTTGGACCAGGACAGGAGGCTTGGCTGGCTGTAGCCAAAGACTAGAGTTAACACTAGTCCAACTTGCCCAGAGGGGATGGATAAAATAAAGTCATTGCAGGTTTTTGTGGTCATTCACTTTTTACTTTTTTGCTTTTTTCAGAAAGGCCTGAAGCAATACTGCTTCATTGTGTTTTTGCTAGAATGCAGCGCAGTGGCCACTTTCATTTTCTGTGTTATTCCCGAGACGAAGAACAAAACCTTTCTAGAAATTAAGAGAGAATTTCACAAGCTCAACTTCAGGAGAGCCAAAGAGCCGGATGAAGAATCGCACGAGAGACAGCAGCTTTGCCTAGAGGTCTAAGAGCTGGTTTGGAGTTGGGCAATCAAGACGCCATCCCAAGAGGCTCTCCAAGAGGCGGCTGGGTCCAGAGGAGCTGCACCTCTCTGAGCCTGCCAGATACCCAGGCAGACCCTGGCAAAAGGCAGGGGAGTCCGTGCATTGAGGATATCCACCCCCCACCCCCACCTTCTAGAGAGCAGGGCCTGTTCAATAAAGGGCTGCTTTTCATCTGGCTCCTGTCTTCACATTTAGAACATAGCTGAGCCGTGCCAGTCAAGGGGATGAATGCAGGAAGAGCTGCTGGGAGTAAAGTTGGCAGGGCCGACATGGCAGTTGGCCTCCAAAACACCATTCACCGATCAGGTTTGTTGCACACAGTAGGGACATGCTAGAAACAGCAACAGTTGGAGAGAAAATCAAGAGGGAGAGGCTCACATCGGAGAATACATGTTAGGGTAATAGCACTCCATATAAAATATGTTATTTATAATATGGGAAGCTCTTGGGTAGTTCTCTGGGCAGAATAAAAATTCACAGCATTTTAATTAGGAAATCATGAAGGAAATAGAGGCTTATAAAATATGCACAACTTGGTAAAATTAACATTGTGAGAACCCCAGTATCAGGAAGGGACCCCACATCTTGTTTGTAGTCCTTGAGCGAAGCCACTCAAATGGCATTCAGGGCACATGCGACGATAAACTTTCCTGAACGGTTTTGGGCAGACCACATTCCCTTTTAGTCCCAGCAACCTCTGTGAATCCACCCCAGCACGCTCTAGACTCCCGGCTGCAGGGAGTAATGGTGGGGCAAACGGCACCCGCTTCCCTGCCCTAATGTCTACCATCCTGCAGGGCAGTAAAAAGTCTCTCCAAGCATGGTTGGCCCACTTCTGCCAAGGGAGACGCAAGAAGTAGGCACCATCTTGGCCAAGCGCCTTTCATATACACAAACCGAAATGGATCCCCAGAGCGCCTTTATTTTGATTTGTGGGCTCCCTCACAGGCAGCTTCTCTTTCAGGCCCCCAAGCAGAGAACAAGGTTGCTACCTGGCCTCCCCTTCCCTCAGTCCCCGAATGTCTCCTTCCTCGGTGGTTCCGTGTCAAGGAAGCAACAAGCCAAAATGCATCACGGGTTGCCCTAAACAGGGTGAGGGGTCAAGAAGGGGCTTTCTTTTCCTTCACCTTCTCCTCTAGGTTCGCAAAGTATTTCATTTTGCCCAAGAGTCTTCTGGCCTTGTGAAGGTCATCTGGAATTACAAGACCGGAACAAGCCTTAACACTGATTCGGAACTCCCCAGGGCCCCGTACTACGGTGGGAACTTAGGGAAAAACTCTGGAAAGGAAGTCAGGAGAAATGGCTGATGCTAAGGAACCCGCATGGCTGTGTGGAGGAACAAGAGTGGGATGCCCTGGCCGACCGGCCTGCAGTCAGACCACTCAACGCTCCAGTGGCCCACCTGGCCTCCTACCTTGCTCAAAGGCCCTGCTCACCTCCTGCACAAGAGCCTCTTGCTTTGCTGGAAGAGAGAAGAGGAGGAGGAAGCCACGCAGCCTTCGGCCCCCTCGCAGGGGAGCTCAGAGGAGCCTCCCCTCCCGCCGCCCGAGGCAGCAGAGGCTCCCACCCACCTGCCAGAAGGCGCTCCAGCCCAGCCAGGCTCGCTTCCGAGTCCGCGGCCGCCAGCTGCTCGTTCAGCTCCAAGACTTCGGCGAGGAAGCCGGGCTCGGCCTCCGCATCGCTGCCCGCCGCCAACTCGACTCCGCGCAGCTCCAGCTGGGGGGGGGAGCAGAGGGCGCGGTTCAGGGTGGACCCCGCCGCCCCCCATCCCGCCGCCCCGTCCAGTCCCGCCACCTTACCAGGTAGAGGCCGCGGCTGAGCGGGCTGCGGAGGGTGCCGTAAGCCAGGTTGATCAGGGCGGCGTGCTGCTCCGAGAAGCCGCGCTCGGCCTGCAAGGCACGGAGGGCGTCACGGGGTCCTCCAGCCCAGCCCCAGCGCCCCGCTCCCCCTACCGGCTCCCACCTGCGGTCGGCGGCTGAAGCGGTCCGGGTGCAGCGAGCGCTGCAGGGCCAGGAAGCGCTGCCGGAGCCGGGCCAGGTCCACGGAGAAGCCGCGCGGGCTGTGGGGAGGAGGGACCGTCAACGGGCGCCTCCTCGCCCTCTCACCCCACCCCACCCCCCAGGCCCCGGGCGCCCCTCACCAGCCCAGCACCCCGAAGAGGTCCGCGCGGGGCTCCGGCGGCTGCAAAGCGCGGCACGAGGGGCAGAAGCCGGGCCCCGCCGCCCCCGAACCCAGCGGGGCCCCGCAGCTCCAGCAGCAGCGCCCGGCCGCCTGGGATCGGGCCCGCCGCGGGGCCCTCGCGCGCAACGCCCGCCGCCACATCCGCTCCGGCTGACTGGCAGGCAGGCAGGCCCCGCCCCCTTCCCGCGCAGGCGCACGGCGGGGAGGAGGCGCGGAAGGTGTCCCGGCGCCGTGGCCCCATGTCCCGCCGGGAGCTGCCGTCGCCGCCGCGGGCGGGCGGGACGCAGCCGAGCCAGCCGCCGTCAGGCTCCTCCAACAGCTCCTCCTCGGGCACGCTCAGCTCCCTGGAGACCCTCCCGGCGCACGACCTGCCCGCCATCCCCGAGGACCAGGAGGAGGAGGAGGAGGAGGCGGGGGCGGGGGCGGGGCAGCCCTGGGGACACCTCTCCGCCCTGGCCGGGGGCTTCCGGGACTGCGGTGCGTAGGCGGCCCGGGGGCTTCGGCGGCTCGAGACGGACGGCTGGGCTTGGGCGAGCCGCCTCGTGTCCCTCTCCTGCCCGGGCTCACCGGAGCCGCTCTTCTTCCCGTCCAGACTGCCTGAAGAACGAGTACTGGTTTGGCCGCGATCCCGGCTGCGACTACAGCTTTTCCAGCCTGGACCTGCCCAGGGGCGAAACCTACCGGCAGTACAGCAAGAGGCACTTCCGCATCTTCAGAGTAAGCCCCTAAGGGGGGCGGAGGCTGGGGTGGGGGGCTGCCCCTTTGCGGCGCTGGGTCCGCTGCCGCCCTCCGCTCGATGGGAGCTGACCCAAGTTTGCTCTTCTGCTAAGGAACCGGGACCTCGGGGCTGCTTTGTGACTTACCTGGAAGACCAAAGCGCAAACGGGACCTTTGTCAATGACCGCGTGGTGGGCAAGGGCAGGAAGATTCCTCTGTCCCATGTGGCCAAAATTGCCCTTTCTGTGCCTCACAACAAAGGTAGGCAGAGCTTTCTTGGCATGCCCAAAAGCAGGAGGCACAGAAAACCTACTTTTGTGCCATTTGTAACAGGAGTGCCCTCTTGCTGCCTTCCCAGTGTTTGTGTTCTCTGATTTGGAGGTCGGGCATCAGCTGGAATACCCCAAGGAAATGCAGAACAAATACATCGTCTCAAAGACGTTGGGCAGGTTGGTCGGAGAGATCCCTTGCTTGGGGGCCAGGTTGGTTTCAGCATGGGTCTCCCTCAGCTGCATCGGCTTCAGCTGCTCTCACACTGTCTGGGCAGAATAGATCACACCAGAGAGCTAAACTAAAGCTGCCCATAGCCGTCCTCTCGGGAGCTGCCCCCTGATCTCTGTGGGTCTGCCCTTGAGTCTCCCCTGGGCCCATGGGGGTGGGGGGAGGAGAGAGAGAACAAGACTGCTTAGGCATCTAGGTCTCCCTCACATCAACATTTCCTTCCTTCTATTTCTGTTAGTGGGGCCTGTGGAGAGGTGAAGTTGGCCTTTGAAAGGGACACCCATACGAAAGTTGCCATAAAAATCATAAGGAAATCAAAGTTTATGACTGATGTTTTGCCAGAAATGGTAAGTCTTTCCATTTTGTTTGTACCCTGGAGTATTGCTTCCCTGATTTTAACATATTGGCTGCTCCCTGACTGTTGATGCAACATGTTTGTGCATTATCTGGCTGGGTGTTTGTGGACTTAGTGTAGCCTTTATTCTGTGTGTGTTTTTCACTAGAGGCTGATGCAGGAAGAAAATGTTGATAATCTATTATCTCACTCAAACCCCTTACCTTGAACCTTGAGCAGGGATGTCAAACTCATGTCGTCATGGCGGTGTCATATGATGTATCTGGACTTTTTCCCCCTTCACTAAACTGGGCATGGGCGTGGCCAACGTGTGATGCATCTGGCCCGCAGGCCAGAAGTTTGACAGTCCTGACCTTGAGGGAACCCCTTTGTAAGACCAAGGGACTTAAAATTTCATCCAAGTGCATAATTTTTCAACAGAGCTCTTAAACTGCCCTATTGCCAACCCCCCAGCAATTCAGTGGATGGGTACAGCCCTGTAGAAAATGGGTGGTAATAGATTCGCTGCACAAATAAGCTTCATTTACCGTTCCCACTTTTTAAGGTGAAGATCTTTTCTCCAAGAGCTGCTTTGTCTGTCTGTCTCCCTTTTAAACTTAATTTGCAGTTGAGCACAGACATTTTTATTTATTTTTCCTCTGGTTTTTGCTTCATTACAGCAGCCACTCTTATCACTATCTTGGACCTTGTTTTGTTTTGAAAATTGCTTCCATTTAAAGGGATGAGTTCAAGCTGCAGGGGTGACTTTACGTTTTGATGCTCTTATTGTTTAACAGCAGGACAAGCCCTTTAATATTGAGACAGAAGTGGGAATCTTGAAGAGAATCGACCATGTGAGTGACGCTTCAAAGCGAATAGCATATTCTGTGCTGGTTTTGCTCCTCTTCTCTTTTGATTGGAATTACTGGTAAGGTTTCTGGAGAAATTTATCTGTTTTAAAAAGACTTTGATTTTTTTTTAAATCATACTTAGTCAGGTGATACGTATCTGTATGAATGGATTCCCTCTTTTTAAAAGCAAAACAAAATTGCTGTTTTAAATGTGTTTTGCAAGAGTCACTTCTGAATATTGTCTTTCTTTTTCTCTGCAGCCCTGCCTAATCAGGATAATAGATTTCTTTGAAGGAAAAGACTTTTATATTGTGTTGGAATTGTAAGTTGTAGTTCTGGGTTTCTGTCTGTGACTTATTGCAATTCAGATGAGAATCTGGGATTCCCAGAAACCAGCAATATTTAGAAGATGAACTGGTAATAGTATCTCATGGCCCAATTAACTGTATGAAGTAGAGCCCATCCCCTTCTTTGTCCAAGTGCTGCTTGAAGGCTTATCTTGGCACCTGATTTTGGAGGTCCAGGTGAGGTGTCTAATGAATGATCCCTTGATCGCAAATGCTTGTGGCTCAAACAACTTTGAGGTCCAGCAAGCCAGGAAATTGATCAGGTCATCGGGGGTCATCTGCAAAGAACCCCACTTCTAATTTCAACCTGAAGAGCCTACCTTTCCTGGTTAGCTCTGGGTCTCTGTGCATTACCTTAACATGTGCTTTCCAAGAAGAAAACAAAGCCCTTCAACTTCCCTCTAATCTTTTCAGGATGGAAGGTGGGGAACTGTTTGACAAGGTTCAGCGACCAGCACGGCTGAGTGAAAGAACTTGCAAACTTTATTTTTACCAGATGTTGTTGGCTGTGCAGGTAATTGTGACAACACGAACTGGGAGTTTGGCTGGTGACTCAGCTGCAGTATTTTCTATGGCAGCTTTGCTGAATTTACTGTTAGAGGTGGGTTTATGCTTTGCATTGCATCAAGTAGGAATGGGGAGCTGTCAAAGGGGCATTTTATGGCTTTAAGCTCAAACAGAAATTAAGTAGAGCTGTGAATAGCAATGAATGGTAATCAGACCACCAAAGCTTATACCTTAAAAATAAACCATGTCAGTTTGAATAGGGGCTACCAAACTCCTGTCTTTCATCTTTTTAAAGTCTATTTATTCCATGATTCTTCCCCTTTTTGGTACTCTGCAAAGTATCTTCACAAACATGGCATAATTCATCGGGATTTGAAATTGGAGAATGTGCTTTTATCATCTAGGGAAGAGAACTGCCTTGTCAAGGTAAGTAAGGAACTGCCTTCCACTATATATAAATTCATTTTGTATCAAGTAAGAGGGCAAAGTAAGATGTATATTTCTGATGAGACTCTTAACAGGCACAGAGAAAAGTCTAATTTCAAGCTTTGAACTGTTCTCAACTTTCCTTGTACAAGATTACAGATTTTGGACAATCCAAGATCATTGGAGAAACTTCTCTTATGCAAACATTATGTGGCACTCCTGACTATCTTGCTCCAGAGATTCTACATTTCGCTGGAACAGCTGGATATGGACGGTCTGTGGACTGCTGGAGTCTTGGAGTGATTCTCTTTATGTGGTAAAAAAGTTTAGTATGGCTGGTAAAATACTCGGTTTCACATCCCATCTTTCACAAGAACTACTAATGCTGTACTTTTGTGTAAACTCGCTGAGATTGGAATAATGTCTGGATGAGTTTTCCCCTTCCCCCGCTCCCCGGGATCGCAAAGTATGGCAGCCCCAGACCAAAGTACAGATCTCTTTGGCATTGCAACCTAATCGTTCATGGCCAAAGGGTGACCTTTGTGTTAGGATTTACACTACAGTTGTCATATTTCATATGACAACAGAGGTGCAAAACCTGGCCAAAGGCTGCTTTGAGGACTAGTAGAAGTGGAGCATGAGCTTCAGTTGTCCCCGTTATAAAAGGAGTAAAGCGGGACATTTCTGTTCTTCTTTTTGCTCAGCCTTTCTGGCTATCCACCTTTCTCCAAGAAAAGTGCCCGGCCGTCTCTGACAGAACAAATCACCAGCGGCAACTACTGTTACATTGAAGAAGTATGGAAGGATATATCCAGAGATGGTATGGCAGTGCTCCCCAAGGAACTGGGAGGACACAGAGACAGGGTGTATGTGGGGAGAGAGTGAGTTGACTACTTTTGGGGGACCAGTCAGCATACCTTTGTCTTCACCTTTGAACTTGCCCAAACGTTTGCGGCCTTTCCGGCCTTGAAATCCCATTCTGAGTGAACCTCCAAGGAAGGGCCCTGCAGAGGCACCCAGGCTTCTCTGGCCTGAAGAGAGCTGACCGGGAAGTTTAGACACTGCCGTCAATTAGTACTGTTACCTTGAGAAGGTACCAAGATGGGGAAGTCTCATCTCAGGCTAAAGACACTGGGGAGGTGAAGCTGAAGGAGAATGGCGAAGGACGAGCCGTAGTGTCCCTCCTGTAGTCTGCTCGCTCTGTCAGTGGCTTTAGAGAGATTGGCAGGAGCTGCACTTGGAGACACTCCAGGGTAAAAGATAATATCTTCACCAGGTTTAGTTTCATTTCCGCAGCTACAGGACAGAGAGAGGACTTCCATGTTTAGATGGTACAGGAAGGTGAGGAACAGAAGTAGAGGTGTTGTCTCAACTGATGGGGATCCCTGTCCTTTCTCTCCCGTTTTGGGCTCATGTTTACAGAAGGTTAGTCATGGTATGGTTATTTATCTATGCAATTTGGAGGCCAAATGACTCTGGAC